TAAATCCGTTACAATAGATTGTAAAAAATACAGTGGCGTAGGTTTTTTTTATAAAAAAAGGGTGACCCTGTCCAGTTGTACACCACTGGTAGATCCTTTAGAGCTCATATTTTAGAGAATGCAAGGCCTACTGTCATCCATTATCTGTACCAAATTTTGTTCAGATCGGTTAATAGATTCCGGAGATATAAACAAAAAATTAATTTTTTTTAACAACTTCAACACCCTGTATCTCTAAAACGAGGCCGTTCCAGACCTATGTTTATAAGGCAAACACCTATTATTTTAAAGAGATCTATCAGCCCCGGAAGTTTCCTGCATAAAATTCGGACCACCCTGTATATTCCAGTAGGTAACCTTAAAATTAAAATATATTAAAAAGCTGTTTCGAACTGACTCAAATAATGCTAGAAATGTAAATGTTGTATTGAGGGCACCTAATTTACCTTTCATGTATGTAAAATACAAAGTTTAATACTTCCTGTAATTTAAGAAATATGCTATTTCTTATAAGGAAACTTAACATCCTACTCCCTATTACAAGAACATACTCTATATGAAAATTAGATATCCTTATCGTTTTACCTTTAATTTCAAATACCCTTTAAAAATTAAAATGTTTAAGAGTATTATCAAATGAATTAATGTTTCCGGCGAAAGTAATATCCAAACATTATACGTAGGTAAGTTAAGAAAAACTTTCTTATTGTACAGTAGGTACTCAAAATATGTAAGATCCAAGATCGTGTAACGAACATTTATTAATTTAGCCGCTAAATGTCCGATAAACGATTGTCTTTTTCTATGTTTTGTTGTATAAACCGAATTTTATATTTAATGTAAGCCAGAGTACTAATATCCGATGAACAGTTTGCTACCACACCCTCTGACCTAGGTATGAGTTATAACACTGGGCAATAGTAGGTAGCAAAAAAACTCAGTTCCCACTAAGGTCGGCCCAAGCGGCCTAGTGCGGACTAGCTCCAGGTTGGTAAACAAAAATCCTCAGGGTCGTTAAATTGCCCAGGGAAAAGTCTAACTGTGACACGAAACAAAGGACACACTAATAAAAGCTCAGAGTTAGTTTAGGAGTATTCCTCCCTTAGTCTAAGGTGCAATGAAATTCAGATCTTTTATCTATCGATATTATACTCGTAATACTAGGTATATTCACTGGGTTGTATAGCAGGTGGTAAACTTTCACAATTACAGAGAGAGGCGGCTGAAGGTCGCTGCAGTATGGTCTATTATAATTATAAACGGAGTGACGCTCCACTTATGAGAGTGCACCCTTCCCCAGTTGTAGCTAAAAGTGGTAGACAGTAAATGGGCGACTACATATGTCAACTTATGCCTAAACAGATTTCCACAAAATATATGACCAATAAATAATGTACGTGGACGTGAGGTCAACTCACTATAAAACACAGGTCGTGTCTGAGTGGTAAAGCTGAGGGTTGCTTTCACTGTACAACAAAAATAAAACGCTCTCTCAACGGTACAAATAAATTATTTTTATTGAAAACTAAGCTTGTGGAAAAAGACGTGTTGACGAGGTGAGTGTTCGTTGGAGAGTCCTCGTGTCGGTCGTAGGTATATGGGTACGCATCCGGTCGCCGGCGCCAGCCCGCCGTAGACCCTTCCTGGAACGTTGGTGCGTCCGGCGGCGCTCTAGGCGTAATGCTTAAAAATGGATCACTTGCGAACATGTGTACCCACACACCCCCCTGCCAGTTATGGATGCCATCACGGAACCTGCAGCCGGTTAGGGAAACGAACCCTTCTACCGGACCTAGTGGTAATTGCCTTGGGTGTGGTTGGCACGGATAATGGGGCAGAAGTTGATGGAAGGCTATTGTTCTCGTCCCTGGTAGCTGTCGCATCATTCAGACAATACGCAGGTTTGACTCTGTCTATGGACACTTTAACTTCACGACCAAGCACTAGCACCGTGAAAGTTTTGTCGTCGCGTTTGATCACTGTAAACGGACCATCATATGGGTTCTGTAGTTGAGTTTTAACGACGTCCGCATGCACAAAAACATGTGTCGCTGTTACCAAGTCTTTAAAAACGACTAGCGTCTTCTCGCTATGGCGTTTAACTGCGGCTGGACGTAAGCTTTCCATATGACGTCTGAGGTCCTTAACAAAATTCGCTTCGGTGCTGAGCTCTTGGTTTGTCCTGCGGGAATGAAGTCTCTGGGTAGGCGTAGATGTTGTCCGTACACCATCTCGGCCGCGGTAGATTGAATGTCTTCTTTCCATGCTGCACGTATTCCCAATAGCACACAGTGGGAAGAATGCTAGTCCATCGATCGTTTTGGTGGCATTTTATTGCTGCTTTTAATTGGCGGTGAAAACGCTCTACCATGCCATATCGATTTGAATAGATACAGGACGAGTAGATTCGTCTAGTTGTTGACATTGCCCACAACTTTCGGAGAAGTAAAGCCTTCAGATCTTAGAAAGAGTCAAATTGCTACTTAAACTGTTATAATAGAGTAATTAAAGTATTATATTACAAAAGTATAATAAGTGTAAATGTTTAACTTGTTAGATTTGCGGAGACCTACAAACGTCAAAATTTGTGAGCAAGAGTCAGCCCTCACCTTGACTTATCTGATAAAGCAAAGCTACACTTGAAAAAACGCCATACACCCCAGCAATTAATAAAACTATAGATATATCAATAAAATGTGACATAAAAAAATAATGCCACTTATATACTAACCTAATAATTGTGTATAGCACCATTATAGTTGATGATTGCGTTTGTTAATTTGTTTTCTCAATAATAATTTTTGGAAAGAGACAAAAACAAACAAATTTAAACTGTCAAAAGTAATTAAAAACGAAAAGCTACTATAAGTTTAGAAAACGACAATAGATCTTCGTTAATAACTTTTTAAAGTACGTACGCGATATACATTATGTGATTGTTGTATCTGATTTTTTCAGTGCGATATTTTTGATTAGATAAAACTATTCTCAGACATAAATATTAAATTTTTTTGGAGGTGGCAAAATACTCTATATGGAGTCAGACCCAGATGAAGTGCAAACTGCAGTCTGGGGAGGACTCCCACTGCATTTCAAGCCGAAATCTTCGCGATAATGGCATGTTCAGCAGTGGTTATAAACATAAACCCATGTCAGGTAAGCTCAAAATTTGTGTGGAAATGTTTACCAATGCTGATTGAACTAGCTACCATTAATTCAGTTAGATTGTGTTGGGTGCCAGGATACAAAGACATTGACGGAAATGAAAAAACGGATGAACTTGCTAGGAAGGGATCCGAAACAGAGTTCATTGGTTCGGAGCCCTTCTGTGGCACATCTCCCAGTGTGGTCAGGGCGAAGCCATGCGAAGAAACTTACGGAGTGTCCGTTGCAGAAAAGAACGGATGGGTTGCTGTGCTTGAATAAAGTTGGTCTCGGAAAGTGATGGGACTTTTAACGGGACACTGTCACTTTAGGAAACATCTATACAAGCTAAAGTTGGTCTAGTCTACCGAGGATATGACTAGACGGATGAAACTTCTCTGCCTATCCTGGGCGAGTGATGCTCCTGGGAATATCCTTTCTTGGACCCAAGCAGCTGAGAGGTGTCCGCAAGGAAGCTTTCGAACTTTGTAAAAAGGGCAAATCTATTTGCTGTTATATTAATAAACAATAAAATGTGTTTCCGTCATTTTTATTTTAAAAATGTAAAAACTGGAGTCAAAAATTATATTTTATCTTAAGTATGTGGCTTCCCCCAGCTCTCATCTACTATTTATTTAAAAAAATACTTTTCTCAGCACCGTACTATAAAAATATACAGTGCTGAAAATAGGAGTATGTAGTTGAGATAAATAGTACTAGCTCCAAGTGAGAACCTTAAAACGCACCAGATGTAGTTAAATAGGGAGCAAAAGAGAAGCCATACTGGGCTTCTCATTACTGACGAGAACTTATACACTATTTTATCAATAACTATGTCTATGTATATAGTATTGGATCTATGAATTGTTACCACATTTTTATTATCACTTTTGAAAACTGGTGTTGATTCCATATATTCGGAAAAACACATTCATCAAAAGACTTACTGAAAAATTAACGGAAGACAGAAACTCTATTAGCACGTTTTTTAACGAAAATTGTGAAATATATAACAAACATATCTTTGACGTTAACAACATACATTCGTTTCTTACAGAAGAATCTGCAGGGGAATTAATATTTCATTACATCTTCTTAAAAAATCTTTGAAATCGCCAGTCAAATTCTGAGATATTAAATTTTGTTCCTTAGGTTAGCATCGAACATCACCTCAGCAAATAATCGATGAAACGCATCTAATGCTTCAAAATCGTCAAGTCATCATAAAATTAATTTTTCAGATTTCACATATGTATTTTTAGATCTACGAATGTATTTGGTTTGACATTCTTTATCTAAATATAAAGTGGATTTTCAAGGAAGACTCATTTACACGTCAACGTTATAATCACGATAATGTTTTGCCAGATATAATCTTGAGTAGACGGATTATTTTAATAATATAATATTTTAAATTTTAAGCAAATATATGGTTTTCACATTTCAATCAACAGTTTTTCTCAGGCAGATTTGTATATAAGGATTTAGTATTACCCTTAAGGTTTATCATTTCTGGTTCATATTATAAAAGTAAATAACTTAATTTGAAATCGTGATTGAAATAAAATTGATTCGCATTAATTTTTTCATCGTTACCATCTTTTTAATCCTGAATACATCAACATCGACTCCTACATCAACATTTGCTGAACCGCATCAGTTAAGTATACTGTGAAGATTGTTCACCGCAAACAGTTTTCTTTTTATTTCAAACATGACGTTTTTAGTAAGTTGGGTGAAATAATAAGAAATTTTGAAACAGCTGGAAACTGCGATACTTAATTACAAAAAATATCAAAAATCACTTTACTTTCCACAATGTATATATAGTATAAAAAATAAATAAATAACATAAATATGCCATTAAAATTATTTATATAGATATTATTTCACAAACACTAGCCCAAGAAATCACTGAAGGCTAACACTAAATTCTATGCATAAAACTTGAATTTGTTCATCGTCTCCGTCATATGTAATAACTACCTCCACGTGAGCAGGCCTCTAAAAAAAATAGTAATATGAGAACATGGCTCATGTAGTGTAACCACATGTGTTGTAATCTGACATTGAATATGAGTTTGTACGATATCGTACAATTTAGTCCAGGAAAATAAGGGAAAAATCATCGAACTTTTTTACTCTGAGATTTTTTATAGAAAAATCAGAAAACACGAGTCACTCCACCACCAGCAACACATACCGTTTTGAAATACAGACAAATACATATATGATTTTTCGTGATTTTTGACTAAATATCTCAATGAAGATGCATTTTTTCAAAAAAAGGTTGTAGTAAAAGATCACAATTAAATGTCCTATAAAATTGCTGTTATGAAAAATTTCGATTTTCCTAATAGTTTTCCCGTATATTTTTTAAGTGAAGTACAGATAATGTAAAAATTAATGTTTTGGAGCCAAAATAATGGCCAATTCATTTTTAAATAACAAAAGTGAATTAGAGGAAAGAAAATTGCGGAAAATTCTTGAAATATCTTATATATTTTCCCGAGGTTTGAATATTTATGAGCATCAAACATCATTTTATAGGTTTTCGAGGGTGAACATTACGAATTAATTATGCGCTTTTTAATATTTTCCAGAAAAATCTGTTTTCTTTTATTTTTTTATTTACTTTCAGTATTAAAAAATAAAAAGTTGTAATATAATGAAACAGTCTTCCTTATCAGAAGAACAGCCTCCCATTAAATTGAGATTTTCGGTAAAACGGTACACTATACCGATTTTCAACAAGTATACCTTTTTTATGTAGAATTGTCCACGGAATCTAAAAATAAATCCCAAATGATTATTAGGTCATTGGCGTAGAAGTTGGTGTAAAAAAATTCCACTGTACTACCCATTCCTACGCCACTGACCTACAGAAATTATAAAATTTTACAGTAAATTATGCACATGTGTAAATGTTCCACCACACTAAATTTGAATCAAATTGATTAGAGACCGACCGATTAATCGGCTTCGGCCACATTCAGCCATTATTTAAACCTTCGGCTAAGAAACGGCCGCTGGACTTAACAAATCTAATCCAATTAGGGTTAAATTAGCACGTTAACACTACAAATAACACGGCCAAATTACAACAAAATTGGGTATAGTGTGTTTAAGATATTTACGAAATAACATTTTTTTATAAGAATGTATCTTGAAAATGAAACATCTGCGGACCAATGTTTATATGAACTTTTTGTATTAAAATCACTCAAATAATCGTCTGTTGAATTTATTGTACATACATACTTAATCCCCTATATACAGGGTGTTTCATTTCCGGTGTGCCAAACGAACACAGATGATAGAGAAAGTAATTTTGAGCAAGAAAGTTCATATCGACATGTGTCCTAAAACGCCTCTCTGTGGCGCTACGTCCCTTTGAATGCTTCGAAATAAATTGATAAAATTTTATACAAAGGTACCATTTATTACGAGGAATTCCTTTATCTAAACCAAATTGACTCATTGCTTTCAGGGTCGTCCCTGCGGGGGCAAGCCTAGGTTCAAAATCCATAACATATTTATCAAATTCGTAATTCTTTTTTCGAAAATCGAAATCCTTGACCATTTCTACGTAAAAAAGACATATGTAGGTACTTGTTTCATGTAGAGAAAATAGAATTCTAGGTTCTTTATAATTTTTAATTTTCAATAGAAAGATAAGTTAAAATCGGATTTTCTGGAAAACCGTTGCAGATATCGTAATGAAACAAGTATGTCTTTTTCTTGTAGAAATGGTCAAGGATTTCGATTTTTGAAAAAAGAATTAGGAATTTGACAAATAAGAAAAGTTATGGCTTTTGAACCTTGGCTTGCTCCCCGTAAGGAAGACCCTGTATAATGTGTCAATTTCGTTTAGATAAAGTAATTTCTTGTAATAAATGGCACCTCTGTATAAAATTTTACCAATTTATTTCGAAACATTTTCGAGATATTGTAATAAAATTGGGTATTAATGGCCCCCTTTAAAGGGGCGTAACGCCACAAGGAAGCGTTTTCGGTCGCATGTCGACATGAACTTTTTTGCTCAAAATTACTTTCTCTATCATCTGTGTTCGTTTGGTACACCGGAAATGAAACACCCATTATATTTCCAAAACATTATGCATTTTTTTTACCTACTTTATGTTATCTTGTCATATTTTTGTTGTTAATAAAAATATCTTCGGCTTCGGCATCGGCTTCGGCCGAAGGTGACCCATAAACCGAAGTTCGGCTTCGGCTTCGACCAAAAAAATCACATTCGGTCGGACTCTAAATTTGATATAAGCATACCAAAGATTTCATAAATAGTATGATTTTAAAAACCAACCAATACGGCCCTGTACAGGGAAAATTTTGAGACTTAGACCCTTGCTTTATAAGACAATTCTGAATTATTTATTAAATTCTATTTGTGGTTAAAGTTTGATTCACCCGAACTGAAACACCCTATACTTATATCTCAAACCGTTGCTGGTAGTTGCGTGTGTGGCATGTTTTCTGTCCTCAAAACCTACACTTTTTTACAAAAAAATATTAGAGTAAGAAAGTTCGCTTATTCCGCGTTTTTATTTCCAACTTGCCTGGACTAATAGTAAGAATTTTACATTCAATGCAATATCAAGTCAGTTTATTTTATAAAAAAATCAGATCACTGAGAAATTCTTCCAGAAATCCGTAAGAGAAAAAAGGAAATATTATAAATATATTTTTTATAGAATCTACAGGATGTCTAAGGATCAATTGAAAATGTCTCTGAATATCCTCGAACAGAATGATAAACTTTAGGCTAATGAATTAAGATTACTAAGAACAAAAATTAGAAAGCATACTTTACTAAATTAGACCACTGTTTTTCACTTCTGGTGGTATTTCTAAGAAAAAATCCTACATTTTTTCCAAAAATAGACATTTTTCGAATTATTTCTTTTTCTAAAGTTTGTTACCATTATCAAGCACTTCAGTGAATCCAAACTCCAAATTATAAATATAACGTATTAATAAACATTTATTGGTAAATACCTTCGAGCCAACGACTGGGCGCGTTACACGGCGATTAGAGAGATAGCTGCTATGAAGGTACATTCTATCTCTCTTCCTCTCTCTCTCTCGCCGAACGTAATTGGCTCACGATTGATCCCCTCTATTTATACTTGACAGGAGCAGCCAATCACATTTGGAGAGGGAGAGAGCATGCATATACCTTCCTTTCACCTTGTTTCGCGCCCATCCGTTGAAGGTTACCTCCAATAGTATATGCTTGAAAGTAAATACAGTTTCTTTATTTGGCAATTGCTGAAAGCGTAACATGTATTAAAACAACATATGCCTTATCGATGTTAAAAAATGTACAAATAAGTTAAATTTAAGTTTACCGAATATAATTGAATCGAATATTTCTATTTCATTGCCCATCTTCCCTAAAATTTAAGTCAATTCTTGTATTCTAAGGAGAACCTCTTAATCACTTGCCATTTTCTAATTTGATCGCTTTAACATATATTTGAACCAAAAGTACACTTCTGTTGTTACAGATTGGTATCAGAATATCCTGAGATGACATATAATTTCAATAGTTTTGCTCTTAAAAGTAAAGATAAAATGACGACTTCATCTACAATACCTTAGCTAGCCTATCACTGATAAGCACGTCAGCAACATATTTTAAATCATTTACTGCAAACAGAGGACAATGCCACTGTGTGCAAGGATTCACTGGAGATATATCCAATTCCCATTGTTGACCAAACATCCAAAGGAAAGCTTTCGTAACCAATTCCGTGCGATTCAAGCTGCTCACTGAAATATTAAATTTTTTATTTTTCACTTTTCGCAAATACTAAGAACAGTAAATCTAATTTGATTACTTTTTACATATTCTATTCCAAACGTTTTCTTAAAATTACAATGACATAAAACTTGAGAGGTCTATCTCCAATAGTAATGAAAATATGATCAAAAGTGTATGTGTGGAAAAAAACACATTTTTCTCCTTTGTGCTCACACAAAATTTTGGCCCTTTTCAATTTTCCTAGATACAGCAAAAGCAATCAAGATAAACGGGATAGGATGTAGATTGTTATGTGAATAACCTTTTGCATAAAAGACAAACGTCATATTTATTTATTTAATAATAAATTTAAATTGTTGATTAGGATTTATCAAATTGAAACAAAACTTTAAAATTGTAATAATGACAATGACGTATTTCAATAGACAACTTTTTTTAAGATATTTGCAAGATATTGATTAGAATTTGAATCATATTCAGGAAGTATACTAAGACATGTTCACTTAAAATTAATAACTATAACAAATCGAGACTGACTTTTCACTACATCTCTAAACTAAATTTGTGTATTTTAATGTTACCTATTAAAAAATAACTTATTTAAAAATGTACTCAAATTTATTCAATTTATTGATCCAATAAAACCGTAAATAAATGTAGGAAAATGATAGTGCACATATTTATATTTTACTTTTGTTTAATATCTCAATGAAAAACTGTGGTTAAATGATAATTAAAAAGTATTTAAAAGTCATTATGTTCATATAATCAGCAAAGGAATAAATATGATGCAAAATTGACGAGTATAAAAATTAATTTACAATAGAATTGGTAAGTAATCTATATCCACCAACTACTGAAGGAAACATTCTTAATATAATCTATTATTAAAAAAATAAAAAATAAATATACTATATCCAAAAAATAAGGTGAATTACTTATTTAAAAATCGCGTGCATTACGAATCCATACAATTATTTTTTGTAAGTTGGAAGTTTTCAATTGCTGCAGAGCTACTCGCGTTTTTGTAACTATAGAAAGTGAGTTTATCGATTTTCATTATCATTATTTTGTTGAGCAAAGAATTATTATTATTATTATCATTAAATTTTGTTTACGGAATGAATATTCTGCCACTTAAACGTTAAGGATGTTATAGAATGCCTTTAGTGATGAGGTTATGTTGCAAAAAAATGTTTATAAGTGGTACAAAGACTTTGAAGGAAGCAATGAAAGTGTTAAGGACAAACAGCATCTTCGGACGACCATCAATGTCACCTGATGAACAACACGTTCAATCAATGATCTTGTGCTAGAAAACCGTCGATTAACTGTTAGCATTTCAGAATGTTCGGTAAATACCATGTTAAAAGAATTGTTGTGCTTTCGAAGCGTCAAATCTCGTTTGGTTCCAAAATCTCTCAACTTTTTTGTAAAACAACGTCGCGTTGAGATCTGTGAAACAATGATTTCTGACTACCAAGATGTCATTACTGGAGACGAGAGTTGGATCTACGCTTACGACTAGGAAACAGCCGATCAATCCAGTGAATATCTTGCAAAAGATGAACCATGACCGGAAAAACCACGTCAAACTCACTCAAAAATCAAAGTCATGTTGACAGTTTTCTTTGATTATCGTGGTGTAGTGCACTATAAATTTCTTCCAACCGGCCAAACTGTTAACAAGTCATATTATTTGAATGTTTTGCGTTGTTTACGTGATGCTATTGTGATGCACCGCAAAAGGCCTAAATTATGGACACACAGTTCTTGGTTTTTCGAGACCATTTCGCCAAAAATTCAACTCATATCGTTCCGCACCACCGTATTCGCCTGATTTAGCACCGAGTGACTTCTGGCTATTCCCTAAACTCAAAAGATCACTCCGTGGACACCTTTTCAACTCGATCGAGGAAATAAAAGCCGAATCGACGAAAGCATTGAAGGCCATATCGGAGTAAGACATTTCAGATTCTTTCGAGAGTTGGAAAAAACGTTGGCATAAGTGCATTGCATCGGGTAGAGATTACTTTGACAGCGACGAAATTGATTTGGAAGCATAAACAAAGATTTTTTATTTTTTAAACGAATTCAACTTATTTTTTGGACAACGGAATTATAGTTCTCAACAACATATAAAAAATGGAATAGTATTTTGCCCTAGGTAAAATGCTTAAGTACTTATTTCCTATAAGAAATAAAGGAAATTTATATAAAAATTAAGAAGAAAACTTGTGGGAAAACCTTTGCACAAAATTAAAGAATATATATATACAGGGTGTAACTAAATAAGTGTAAAACATTTAAGGTGGTGATTCCTCATCGAAAAAAAGATAGAATCTTTCATATAAAGAAACTTCATTGGAGCATCCCTTGTTAAGATACAGCCCCTTAAAGGGGGTACATAAAATTTGTTTAACAATTTTTTTCACAAGCACTAAACAAGTTACAATATTGAAATTAACCTGACATTTTCTACTACCAAAAAGACACTTAGCCAGTAATTTATTTGGTTTACCCCATGGTTGTAAGGGGTGGAAAACGCAACCCCTAAAATTTATTTCCAACGTAATTTTTTGTCTTATTATTTTTTTACCATTTAAAAATTTATTTCCGATAGCCTGTTTCATTCTAAAAAAAAATGTCTCTTGAATTTTTTGCCCAAATTAAACCAGTTCGCAGCAAAAAATTATTTTACGAACAAGATACATATCGCCATAAAACGAAAATACGAAACTAATTTATCTAGTAGGCCGCCATTAGCGATACTGACAATTAAATTGGAATCAAGCTGTCAGTTTGTAAATTTTTGAAATTGAAGTAATACTAATTGTGTATTGTTCTGTTCTTAATTTGTTACTTTAATAATTCACTTGTTATTAAAATGGCATACACAAATGAGGAAATGGCTGATATGCATTACGTTTACGGTCTGTCGCAGGGGAATGGGTTAGAAGCTTCTACAAGATATGCTGAAATGTATCCTCAACGGCAGCATCCTTCACATAGAATATTTGTCTGACTTCATCAACGATTACGTGAATATGGTTCATTCAACAAAAGAACGCAGGATTGTGGTCGCCATCGAGAAGTAAGAACACCACAGCTTGAGGCAGCAGTACTTAATTTGATAGAAGAACAACCTACTATCAGTACTAGAAAGATTGCTTTCCAGCTAAATGTTGATCATATGACGGTATTTCGAATTTTAAAGGAACATCTCTTATACCCTTACCATCTGCAACGAGTACAGGCACTGTTACCGCGAGACTTTCCGAACCGTCTTGAATTTTGCAATTGGATGCTGGAAATGATTAGAAGAAATCGTGACTTTCTGAAGACGATCGAATTCACAGACGAATGTAGTTTTTCTCGGGACAAGATTATTAATTTTCATAATTACCACATATGGGCTGATGAAAACCATCACGCTATTGTCGAAACTAACCATCAAGAACAGTTTTCTCTTAAGGTGTGGGTCGGAGTTATTGGGGATTATTTAATTGGGCCTCATTTTCTACCTCCTCGATTAAATGGTGAGGCATACGTTCAATTTTTAAGAAAAGTGCATCCCCCCGTACTGCTGGAGGAAGTTCCTTTGGGCGTCAGAAGGGATATGGTTTTTATGCATGATGGGGCTCCCGCCCATTTTAGTCAAGTAGCACGTCAGCATTTAACTGAAACATATGCAAATCAGTGGATAGGTCGAGGAGGACCACAGAATTGGCCCGCTCGATCCCCGGATCTCAATCCTCTGGATTTGTCTACTTGGGGCCATTTGCAGCATTTGGTTTATCGTACTCCTGTTCGCGATGTAGAGGACTTAAGAAACCGCATTATCGATGCGTGCAGGGTAATTAGAGAGACTCCAGGAATATTTGAGCGAATACGTGGCTCAATGCGCCGACGTCTAGACGCATGCGTAATGTCTGAAGGTAGACATATTGAACATTTACTATGATTTCTACATGTTGTATGTTTTGTTATTATTAAATTAGTTTTGATTATTCCCCTTTAATCATTTAATGCAGGTAGTAACTACAAAATAACAGTAAATCCAGTCCGCATTTATGACGATGTATCTCTGTAGTTGTTCGTAAAATAATTTTTTACTGCGAACTGGTTTAATTTGGGCAAAAAATTCAAGAGACATTTTTTTTTAGAATGAAACAGGCTATCGGAAATAATTTTTTAAATGGTAAAAAAATAATAAGACAAAAAATTACGTTGGAAATAAATTTTAGGGGTTGCGTTTTCCACCCCTTACTACCATGGGGTAAACCAAATAAATTACTGGCTAAGTGTCTTTTTGGTAGTAGAAAATGTCAGGTTAATTTCAATATTGTAACTTGTTTAGTGCTTGTGAAAAAAATTGTTAAACAAATTTTATGTACCCCCTTTAAGGGGTTGTATCTTAACAAGGGATGCTCCAATGAAGTTTCTTTATATGAAAGATCCTATCTTTTTTTAGTTACACCCTGTATATATATATATTTATATATACTATTAATAATAATAATATTACAAATCTAAAAGTTTTCAAGTACTCAAAATATTTGATAGAATATAGAAAGATAGATTCATTAATTTCAAATATGATTTTACTAATTTTAATTACCTTCTGAAAGAGTAATTTCCACAGTAAAATGATCTCCAGGAGAAAAGTAGCATGGGATTTCATCGCAGTCGCTCACAGTAACTGTTTTAATATCCATAGAAGAACCTAAAACAGACACAAATATTTGTCAAGATATAAATTAAAACATTTTTAGCGGTTACTTTTCTTTAATTCAGCATATTCTATAGGAATCAAATATAGTGGGATTTTATTCAACTGTTTTATTTTGCAAAAAAATGCTTTGCAAAGTAAATGAAAGATTACGCAGAAGCAAAATTTTTACAAATTCAAAAATATGTTTTATTATTTTTCTATTTCGACTTATATCCTGCAATAATATGACTATCTTTTTCCTACTATTTAAAAAGAAAATTCAGTACTCATACTTCTTAAGCCTCACTGTAACTGTAAGTTAAGAGAGCATTTGTATTTTATTTATTTATATATTTTGTAAATTGTTCATTGTTCTACTCAATAATCCTCACTTTCAATATTTTTTTTAATGTTTTTGTTATCCCTAAGTATGTATACTTTGCTTACATGAAAATACTCAAACAAATTATACACCCTCAAAAAATCTTGATATTAATGCTCTCAATAGTGTTTTATATTTGTAATTTTTTTTTCAGGCATTTTTATAAAATGTTTTCTCATTTCTATACGTAAAACTAATTAAGACTCTCACGGTGCGCTGAAGCGAAAGGCCGACGCAACGCGACGGCTATAATCATCCGACCGAGTCCCAAGTTCAAATGATGAAAACCAATAGGGTCAATTACATAATTCTAAGATTAATAGATATTCTTTTCAGCAAAACAGTCAATACTTTTTTTTTGCTGCATTGTATTGCACAAGAGTTACCTAAATAAATTATTACGTATTACACATATACAACTTTTCTAATAAATCTTCTCTATTGTAGATAAGCCATTGTCCAAATCCTTGTTTTAAAATTAAAATAAATCTATCTCGATAACAGGAAAAAATATATTAACTCCATTTTCATAAAGTATATTTGTAGTATGACGTTACACTTAAGACAGACTGGTAAATAGACATTGCAAATACTAGAAAAATATTTTTATCATAAAATATATACCGATTGCTTTTATATTGCATTTATAAATTACATATCACTGAGATCGTGACTCGACCATTTTTAATTTTACTGATTTTTTGGTATTATTTAGTACCCATTTAGAGTAGCTTTCACGAATTTTTTCAAATTTTTATTTCAACCCGTCAGGATTGGTAAATTGGGTAAAAAATTTTCAAATACCTGTAACTTGGCGAAAACTAATGATATCAAACTTTTTTTCAATTTATTCGTTTTGAGATGTAGGTTTATAAAAAATATATACATAAAAATAGTACATTTTTAATTTTTTGAATTTTAAACCAAAGAAATGCTTTTTGAAAAAAGAGTGGCATTATTAAATTCTTCTTAAAAAAATTCTCAGTAAAATCATCTTTCAATAATATGCAAATTTATGAGACAGGTTCTAGAGTGGGATCTTTTTTTATTAATTTCTTTTATTGAATTAATTTTTATTTTGCATTTTAGTTTTTTACAGATAATGTACGCTATTAAAACAAATTTTACTATAGAAATAGAACGCGAAGACCATGTTACTAGAAATAGCTTATTTTTAAAACTACTTCTGCTAATATTGTCAACCTACTTAAATATCTAAATTATTATTATAATTATTCCAATTTTTTTCTTTTTCAGTATTAAAAAGCTTGATTTGTATAATGCAATTTGTTATATTTTTGACCATTTATATTTAGTAAAAACATTTGTATATGGATAGGTTAACGATGAAATAAAAAAAAAATCAATTTCTAGAACACTTGACGGATTTTACTTTCTATATCATTCCATTAAATAATTCCCGCCATTTTTATAAAAAAATTTAAATACCTGAAAACTTTATTAAAACACACTGTACTTATGGGGAGCCATTTGAGCAACAGGCATTAAAAATATAACACCGATTTCATGTATTAATTACTTTGGTGGTTTTCAAGCAAAACACGTTTCCTAAAATATATCGAACCTACGCAAATAACATACCCATATTTATACAAAGAGCAAATTTTTACTCGCTTATTTCTTTTGCCATCGTTGTGTCTCAACAATTAAGTAATCCGTTTTCATATTTTAACCATTATATTGTCCTACAAGATTTAACTTACAGAAAAGGACAGAAATGAAAGAAAATGTTATTTGGAGTTAATAAGATGAAATAAATTTATATTAATTAATCTGTTAATTTGTAATAAACAAATACTTACCGCAGTCATAGAAATCAAACTCTGCCTTAGCGATTACAATGAACACGGCGAAAAACAGAATGAAACATTTCTCTTTCATCACTTTAGGCATCTCGAGAATATTGTAAATACCGTACTTACTGTAGCAGTTCGATAATGACAATAAATCAAAAATATCTGTGACTACTTCAAATAATTTCAAGGGTCCCTTATCTTGTACGCGCTACACAATAATGAAGTTACCACTACTGCGTCAAAAAGTGATACTGATATTTGTTAAGGAAATGTTATTAAAAATCGCGTTATCAATCAAATCAAAGAAGTGACAGTAAGCAGATAGGTAAAATAATCGGAATAATAAATATTGCTTATTGCAGTCAGTATTATGTATCAGAATTAATGGATACTTAAAAGGGACTTCAAAAAATGTTTCTTTGGTTTTGTAGCACTTTATTTTTTAAATACTAGCTGATTATTTGTTTTGAATGAAGTTTTTTAATTTAACTTTCACAAATAGGATTTATTTATGAATTTTGAAGTTTCGATTTTATATAGTAAGGATTGCCGAAGATGTTAAAATATCTTTCCACAAAATAAAAAGTTTTGTTGCAACACTGTATGTTCCGTAGGGATTTTCATGTTCTATAATTGTTGCAATCTCCTTTGGAACCATTGTCCCAAATTTCAAAAAAAGTCATCACCTCGTATAAACTGAAATCCTTTCACAGTGATAAAAATGTGGTTATTAAATTGTTTCAAGTGGAAAAAAATGTCATTTATTATCAAGAATCGCATTTATTTATCTACAATTAATGTCAGTATTTCTAAGAATTATTAAAATGCTTTATCTTTTCACTTTCTGCGTTGCATTTATGCAGAAACAAAGATAAACCCTTCATGTTTCGTAACTCGCTACTGTTTATGATTTCCTTACTGGCGCGTTATGCAATACAATGATATACAGTACGGTATATTGTTTAAGGTTTAAGTTTGAGAGCTACACGTATGGTAATAAATATTAGCCTCTTCCAGGCAGCAAATACTGAAAACTAAGGGGTTTTAAGTAGCTTTAGAGTGGCCAGATGAAGTTATTAGTTTCCATCGCATTGTTCGCGTCTTAAAACCAAAAGCAATTTTACAAAACTTAGCCGTGGCTGCCACTTAGAACAAGAACATCATAAAAATAATACGTTGTTGTCATGTAGAGGACGTCGACTTCAATCAATATTTGTTAGTTATTGGCGAAACTCATACTGAAAAGGCGTAGAAATTCCAAGGTAGTAACAAGAATTGTAAATTGTAAAAACAGAGAGAGAGATATGGCTGGCTTTTTTGTGTGGGCTTTTTCCAGCTCTAGAAAAATAGAGTAGGTAACAGAAAATCGACCAGCTCTTCTTCGTACTGTCATATGAGGTCATAGTGAAGGAAGGTGTAGAATAGAGTTATTTGTAAATTCAGTTTTAATACATAATTATCGATATGAAATGGTAAAATCATTCCAGGCATAAAAAACAAAACCCAAAATAGGCGAGATCGAAATAAAAATGTCGAAATCCAGTGACAAAATAAGTCCTTCTTGGGTTTCCATACAGTGCGGTCTATTTAACTTTAGAGTTTCGGGGTTAATTTATTAATATCTTCCGTACATTCACGATTCCCTGAATCTCGAAAATCACGTTGCCGCTTACAAATTAGTCATTGATATTGTCTATTTGAATCCGTTGTGTCATCGTTGTTTTATTTATTTCAATTTTATACAAATTCCTTTCTTATGAAGTTCTGGTGTTTTCTCGTTCTCTTTAAATTAAGTGACCCATTGAATGAGAGTGTAACACCTTTTATGACCAACCCATGGATTAAAGCTACGTGAGCCAAAGAACGGTAAGTGCTTGAAATTCATTCCCTGAACGAACAACATTTCTATGATTCCACATACCATAATTAAAGTGTAAATTATAATGTATGAGCTCCTTTCCACAAATTGCTGTCGTTACTGTACTATTCGCAACGATGGAAATAACACCATAGGTTACATTTATTTACTTATAAAGAGTACTTCATGGTGAAGAAATTTTGTTGCGATATGTTCTCTTGAATTAATGATGTAACTTCAGATTATATCGTTATGTTAAAATACTATGTTGTGCAGTTCACAATAATGCTATTTTATTGCTTAAAAGAGTTTCACCCTTTTTCTGAAGTATTCAAAATTCCTTTGAAAATTTTGTGTTAACTAACAGCAATATATTGAAAACGTTAAAAGCATTTATGATAAATACTATGATAAAAATAATACTAGAAAAATAAGAAAACATTGGATTATGAATTAAAATATTTAGGAGTATATTGAGACTAAAATATGAAGATTAAGTCCATCCAAAACTGCATTATTTGCAAGTTAATATGGTATTTTTAACTAACATTACACACAAGCTATACCTCGAAAGATGTTTATTTAGATTAGTGAAACCAACTTAACTAAAATCACTTAATTTTTATAGAATTATATCAACCAGGGATGGGCTGGTGAGAACACTCTCGCTGTAATTCCAAGATCTCTGAGCTGAGATTAATAGTCCGCAGAATGATCAGACACGGACCGATTTGAAACTTATTAGTTCTCACCACTATGCCATAGGTAAGATGACCGATGAAAGATTTAGCTAATCATAATAATCTATCAGATATAATAATATTATATGGACATATAGATACTCTGTAATGACATATACTACATGTACTACTTATGTAGTAGATCATATCTCACTCACACTCGAAACATGTTCTTATATAGACATCCAAATATCTAAATCTTTCGACGGTTGTCGCCAAAGGATACTGACGACAACAAAGTTGAAAACCAATCTATTCCTGATGGTTCTGCTGATAAATAATTAGCTGTTAACTAGATATTGGGAGTGTAATCATCCTTTGTTGGATGGGACATTGTTTGTGAAACTAATATTATTATTATTTTCTATTTATATAACCAAATAGTAACGAACAGTAACTCAAAAATTACTTGTTTCACGAAATAAATGTTAGAGGCCTTTTTTCTTTCAAATTCAGTTGTAAATCAAATGAACTTACAAGATTTTCAAAATAATTAGAGGTATCAAAATAACGGAATTCTTAGTTTCTCCATTACTAGTTGATATAGTTATATACCAAATCAGTGATTGATTAGCTTTGTTTAGTTAAGTCGACAGCCCACGTTTCATTATTCTATGACAAATGTATTTTGAGATATTTGTAGATTTGTGGATTTCAAAAGGAGACATGTCAAACTTGCAAATGAAGCAATTTTGACCATACTTTAGCCTCAAAATTATCTGCAATTCCTTTATTTAAATACACCTTGAACATTACAAATTATTATAGATAACAGACATCTGGCTATTGTTACAGTTCATGTCCTTAAATTAAAAATCAAATATGTTTTCAAACTGTCAAAAACTCTATAATTTTTGACAAAATGCCACATATTTTTCCATATTCTGTATGATACAAGACTAAATTATGCGCCATTCTGTATTAATATTCCCAATATAGAGGGTCGGAAAGTTCCCATGGTTCATCGGCCGTTACGTGAGAGCGATAAAGAAAGCCATAGAAATCCGTGAGATAGAGAAAGATGGCTACAACGAAGGCGTCTAATAGTGACCGCCCATTTCGCCCTTCCACAAATAAGATCCACTTCTTATTTGTGGAAGGGCGAAATGGGCGGTGACTATTAGACGCCTTCGTTGTAGCCATCTTTCTCTATCGCACGGATTTCTATGATTTACTTTATCGCTCTCACGTAACGGCCGATGAACCATGGGGACTTTCCGACCCTGTACATACTATTTTAAATATATTTTTTTGTTATGTTGAATTTGTGCTACAATTGTATAAATTTTCATGATAATGTTTCCTCCATTTTTATTAAATGGAAAACATATAAATGAGTTTTGCTTTATTTGAGAATATACACAGATCCCTCCACGACAGTATCCAAAATTCTACACTGATAATGTTGGTATTTCCAGGAAAATAAAATCGCTATCAAATAAACTGTATGCACCAAAGTAACATAAATTTAAAAATAAACAATTTTTATTGTCATTACTGACAATAAAGTTAATTTTAGAATTATTTATAACTATTTTTATATTAATAAAGATTAGCAGGAGCATCTGTCCTAGCGAATTTCATGTTAATGTTAAGCGGCGTTTACATTAGTCAACTTCTGATCGGTCGATCGTGTTGATCGATCTGAGGTCGTTCGATAAAAAAGTTTTAACATTTTAACATTTTAATCGTTATCGGCCGACATTCTTATCGTTGAAGATGGCGCGTGTGAAACGTAAAGAAATTATACGTGTAACATCAGCAGTTGCGGTTAATTTGTTAAGCGAACTGAAAAATATAATTTGTCGGAAAATAAACCGAAAAAGACGTCGTTGGTGGGTTAGAGAGTGGAAACAAAGACGTCCACTACTTGGAGGATCAGTCACTATTATGAAGGAGCTAGCTTTGGAAGACAGAGAAATGTACAAAAATGTCTTGAAGATGTCAGAACAAGCATTTAATATATTATTAGAAAAAGTTACAACGTTAATTTCAAAGAAAAATGCACAATTAAGAGAGGCATTGCCTGCCTATATAAAGTTCCACTTCCACTTTTACGGGATTTTATTATTTTATTTAGTTCTCGGCGATAAATTGTGCGTATAGATATAATTTTTTCTTTCATAACAGCAACTATTAATCCCTCGAAATTCATTTCTTCTATTATTGCCTCTAACGCCGTTTTCTTCAAATTACAGTTTTTATATGAGTCACTAGAATTGTTCCACAGAGACATTCATTCTGTTGATAGAGATCTATAAATTTAATGATTTTACTTCCAGTCCAATTTAATTTATACATTTTGCCTGCTTTTTTTACGAACAACAACAGAAATATGTTTTAATCGACTGTCAACTAATTTGGGAGTGTTTAGACGGTCGAATGCTAGTTGAAACGACCGAGTTGTTCCACCAAAGGTTGCCACAATGTCAACTTCTAGTTGAACGACCGGTAGTCACCCAGACTCGGTTGAAATCGGGTTTACATGGGCGATCGTAGGCGACTTTTAGTCGATCAACTTAGTCGTTCGACCAGAAGTTGCCTAATGTAAACGCCGCTTTATAAAAACGTTCGATTCGAAAAGACATTAAGTAGTATATTTATGTTTCCAATAACCACACTCTGTAATTTT